CTCCTCCCCCTCCCCCCCCTGAAATCAATAAAGATATATTTAAAAAAAACCCAAAACCAAAAAAACTGTGTTTGCCACCAAAGATGCACTCAGGTGTTATCTGTTATTAACAAGGTGACAGACCATGCCCAAGGTACTGAGACCTTGGACCTGTTCCTGCCTTGTTTTCCAGATGTGAATGAGCTGAAGGAGTGCCTCTCGGTGCTGGTTAAGGAGCAGCAAGCCCTGGCCGTGCAGTCGGCCACCACCACCCTGTCCGCCCTGAGGCTGAAGCGGCGGCTGGCCGTCCTGGAGCGCTACTTTATTGCCTTGAGCCGGACCGGGCTCCAGGAGAATGCCCGTGGCAAGTGGAAGAGCAGCAGCGGTTCGCTGCCTTCTGTGGACAAAAAAAGGTAACAGCAGGAAGAGGGGATCTGGAACCCGCTAGACAGAAACCTGGCTTCTTGGCCCGGAAAGTCTAGTTGAGGCTCTCGGTGCAGGGCCTTTTTCATTTCTGTGGAACTGCATTCTTTCCCCTTCTGGATGTTGTATCATTTGAACAGTGGGTTCGGTATGTGCCCTTTCCTCTGACTGACGAGCCCCCCGTGTGTCCCTGCAGCTCTCGGCCCACAGGCAGAGGAGTGGAAGGACTGGCGAGAGTTGGATCCCGGGCAGCTCTGTCCTTTGCCTTCGCATTCCTGCGAAGGGCCTGGCGGTCAGGTATGTGTGCCCATGGGGTTCTGTGTCCCGCGCTCAGGAGGTGTGGCTGCTCCCTGTGGCTCCCACATGGCCTCGGCCGATTCCACACGCTGTGGTTGCCTCTTTGGCCTTGTTTGTAATGACAGGCTTCAGAGTCTGACCAAGAGGGTTTGTGCTTTTTTTTTTTTTTTTTAATCCTCACCCGAGGATATTTTTTCCCTTGCTTTTCACAGAGAGAGAGAGACATTAATTGGTTTCCTCCCGTACACGCCCCAGTGTGGGCCGGGGATGGAGCCTGCAACCGAGGTGCATGCCCTTGTCCGGAATCAAATCCGGGATCCTTCAGTCCGAGGTCTGATGCTCTAACCACTGAACCACACCAGCCGGGGCTCTTAAAAACCAGTGTAACAGCCGCTGCAGGGTCTTGGCAGATTTATTTTTAGGGGAATAAGAAGTTAGACTTGCTCACGTGAGCGTCAGATTGCAGAGTTGACTTTGGGGGCACCTGTATTAAACCTGAGCGTTGAGTTCTCGCAGTGGCTCACTGAGGGGAGGGGGTTGGAAATGGGACAGTGGCACCCTCGGGGCGTGGCTCTTGTCAGCGGTGCCCCCCTTCCCCCCCCCCGCATGTGAAGGAGAGGACGCCGACCTCTGCAGTGAGCTGCTGCAGGAGTCCCTGGACGCCCTGCGAGCTCTGCCCGAGGCCTCCCTCTTCGACGAGAGCGCTGTGTCCTCCGTGTGGCTGGAGGTGGTGGAGCGAGCGGCCCGGTTCCTCAGGTCCGTGGTGACGGGGTGAGTTCTCTCCGCATCTTTCTGCGTGAACACATCTCACCTTCTTTGTAGCTTTAATTTTTTTTATTTTCCAGGTACACTTGACATTCAGTATTACTCTGAGTTAGTTTCAGGGGTACGGCATAGTGGTCAGGCAGTCATACACTTTTCAGTGATCCCCCGGTGTGTCCAGTGCCCGCCTGGCCCATGCGCATTGATTACAGTACCACCGACTGCATCCCCATGGCTTTCTGTAACGGTTGTACTTCTTATTTCACCTGCTCTTTAGAGCTAAGAAATTGAGTAGATGGCTTCCTGGGTGTGTTTTCAGCACCCCTCAGCTCTGTGGTTCCATCTTTTCACATGTTTGAGTTTGCACAGCCTGATTGGACCCAGGAAGCTGTCCTGCTGAATGGGATAGAAAATGAAAGATGCTTTTGGAATTCATTTTTTCGCATACTCTAGGATGTGGGGCTCAGTCATTCATCAAGCGTTCGAGCACCTGTTGTGTGCCTCCCAGTGAAAGTGTGGGTTCCACCCTGTGAGTGATGGCGTCTCAGTAGACAGCGTGGGGTTGAACAGCTACACAGGATGAAATCTAAATCTGCATAGAGCGTTTTTTTCTTTCTGAAATTTTTAGTTATTGATTTTAGGGGGCAGGGGGAGAGAGAAACATCGACTTATTGTTACATTTACTTATGTATCACTGGTTGATTCTTGTATGTGCCCTGACCAGAGGTTGAACCTGCAACCTTGGTGTACCGAGGATGCTCTCACCACTGAGCTACCTGGCCAGGGCTTGTACCTAGTCTTTTCAGTATGAAAGATCTGAATGTGAATCAGTGAATGTGAACTCTGGTCTCAGGGCTACGTATCTTTGGTCATGGTTTTTAAATAGACCACACGTACACACAGTGCAGAATTCAACACAAAGGCAACTCGGAGAGAAGCAGGTCTCCGCATTCCCTTCACCGAGGTCACTCTGTATCCTTCCCACAGCAGGGCCACCTGTGGTCTCAGTGCCAGTGGGCTGTCAACTTGGCTCCCCAGGGTGCTGCAGGCTGGGGCCCTGAAAATAAGCTCGGAATTTATTTCCAAAGTTCAGCTGTAATGGTAATGTCGGAAGATCCTCCCTTCCCCACCTTGGGTTAGGAAGCCTTGCTCTTTATTACCAGGGCACAAGGGAAGTTAGAATTATTTCTTTGATCACAGATAAGAGCAAGCGTAGGCATATTGCCTGCAGGTTCTCGGGCGGTTCTAGAAGTGGATCCCTGTCCCGTTCCATAGAGGACTGTTGCTCCTCTAATAGCCCTTCCTGTTGTTGAAACAGACCTAATGTTTTTCTACTCACGATTTGAGTAATGTTATAAACAATTTATTGTACAGAAACTTGGAATGTCTTCTAATGTAATCATTTTATAGCATCTGAACTGATGCTCTTATTTAAAACATCTCTACAATCTCTACATATTCATTGTACACTTTAAAATCTCTGATGAAATGTTAGTAGCAAGTCTCAGAAACTTGACTCTAAATATTAAAAATATGTTTCTCTTTGGGAGCGAGTGTAATTAACATCTTAGGGTTATTGTCAGCATGCTGTCTTGAAGCCCTGACTTGACTTTGTTCCTGGCCCACTGCTGTCCTTTCAGGGATGTTCACGGAACGCCAGGCACCAAAGGGCCGGGCAGCATCCCCCTGCAGGACCAGCACCTGGCGCTGGCCATCCTGCTGGAGCTGGCTGTGCAGAGAGGCACCCTGAGGTGAGGGCTGCGCGGCTGAGCGCTGTGGAAATGCCTCTGGATCGGAGCCCCTGGCGCATTTCCCGGCATTTCACCAAATAATTTGTGATCATGGCCAGTATGTGGTGTGGTCTGTGATCAGAGAACCGTTTCTAGGGCGCTGTGTTCTTTAAAACCTGGGACCTTAGCTTTTCTTCACTTCCTTTTTTAGAGGGGGCCGGGGAGAGAAACAGTGATGTGAGAAACATTGATCGGTTGCCTCCCTTATGTGCTCAGACCGGAGTTCGAACCCGTGACCCTTTGGTGTGTGGGACTACGGTCCAACCAAGCCACACCGGCCAGGGCTCCTCTTAATTTTCTTAAAGCAATGACTTTTATTCTGTTAATTTAAGGTCCTAGAAATTCCCTGTAGAAAGTGCTACTTGAGCTTCTGAACTGATCTCATATTATCCACAGGAGGTGGATGTCTTGTGCTAAACTCAGGGCGTAGAGTTATTTTCTGCCAATAATTGTTTTGATGATATTTTTAGTTCCTTTCAAATCTAAAGTATTCCTTCTATTTTATTTTGCTGTTTGCTTTTGTTTTTGACAGACCATGGCAAAAAAATTAATATTTTTTCTAGAGAATAAAGCTGTTTTCTCTTTCAGCCAAATGCTGTCTGCCATCCTGTTGCTGCTCCAGCTGTGGGACAGTGGGGCGCAGGAGACGGACAACGAGCGGTCCGCCCAGGGCACCAGTGCCCCACTCCTCCCTTTGCTGCAGCGGTTCCAGAACATGCTCTGCGGCAAAGATGCCCCTCACACGGAGGGCGACACCCTTGTAAGTGTCCCAGTGAGGCTTAAATAAGTAACTCTGTTATCTCAAGTTAGACTTCTGTAAACAGGCCAGAGCACATGTCCCTGGGGGTGGGTGTTGGTAGTGAGGACGTGTATTTGGTGATTCCAGCCATGAGTCAGGTGTGGGACAGGAGGGAGAGTCGAAGGCTGGGTCACAGGCGATGTGGTGGAACATCCCACAGCATGTTAGGATTCTCCAAAGCAGCTAAGGAGTGGCCGGAGCCCACTCTGCTCGTAGGTGGCTGTGGGGCTGTGTTCGCGTTCTGCATGCACGTGTAACGGGATATGTTTCTTGACGTGGATCAGCCTGCGCCATCAGAGACAGGCCTGCTGCCTGTTGACCAGGCTGTGCATTCTGCTGGTGGGTTTAGTGCTTGCCGGTTCCTAGCCGCCTCATGCTGTGCTTTGGCTGTGGGGGGCAGCGAGGTGAGGGTGCTGTGGAAGAAGTGAAGACATGCTCACCCCCACGTGGGTGCGAGTTAGTGGGTGCAGTGATAATGGGGAGCGGTGCGGGACTGAGGCCTGGCCGCTGGGGGAAGTAGCATGTTTTTGGTTCAGAGGAGGCCGTACTCGGTGCCGAGAGAGCACACATGACCTTGCGCAGTGGAGCCAGTGAGTCTCCCTCCCCTGTGCTCCCCCTGCCAGAAAGAGAACACCTCAGCTGTGTGAGCAAGCACAGTGCCGAGTCTGAAGTGCACACTTCTCAATAATTATTAGGGAAAGAGCTTTGAAAAGAGTGGCTCATTGCCCTGGCTGGTGTGGCTCAGTGGTTGGGCATAGTCCTGTGCACCGAAAGGTCACCGGTTCCATTCCCGGTCAGGGCACATGCTCGGGTTGTGGGCTTGATCCCCAGTAGAGGGCATGGAGGAGGCATCTGATCGATGTTTCTGTCTGTCTCCCTTCCCTTCTCTTTAAAAATCAATAGAACATCTTTAAAAAAGAAAACAGTGGCTCACTTTGTGGGCCCTTCTGTGTGCGGGCAGCATGTGCAGCTTGTTACCTCAGTTGTCCCGGGATGGCCAGGCCGGTGGCCGAGCACATCTGCCCTCACCCAGGTCTGACCCCTGACCTGTGGCAGCCCTGCGGCTTTAGAGGCGTGGGCTTGATTTTGCGGGTCTCCTCTGGAGAGACTTAGCCGTCCCACGAGCTCCTGCCTGGTGCTGCTCCCCCATGCCGTCTGCAGCGTGAGGCTGCCCTGCCCACAGACCTAGATTAATGGAATGCAGATGAATCAGGTCCTCCAGGGACGCAGTCTTTGGGTGAAAAGAAGTGGCTTCTGTTGTCAGTTTCGAAAGGCAGGTGAGGTGAAGTCTGTGTCCCTGGGAGGCCTGCTCTGTGCTCCCCGGTCCTCGGGGGGGGCGGGGGGGAGCCTGCGGTGCTGGGCTGTGTCACTGCCCTGAGTGTGTCAGTCAGGCTGCGGGGTTCTGTCCGTGTATCAGCGACACTACTTTTTTTTAAAAAAAAAATGTCTTTATTGATTTCAGAGAGTGGAAGGGAGAGGGAGAGAGAGAAACATCAATGTGAGAGCCGTTGATCGGCTGCCTCCTGCACGCCCCCTGCTGGAGATTGAGCCCGCAACCCGGCTGTGTCCCCTGACCAGGCATCAAACCATGACGTCCTAGTTCATAGGTCGATGCTCAACCACTGAGCTACACTGGCCGGGCAGACACTTCTCAGGCGACGGCCAGAGGAGCAGATACACCGATAACGAATCACTGTGAAGACCAGAATCCAAAGAGATGTTAAGGCGCGTTGCGTTCTTTCCCACTGTTTCTGAGATGCCTGTGCTTCTCTTCCAGCTGCTGTCTGGCCCTCTGAGCCCCAACGAGAGTTTTCTCAGGTACCTGGTTCTTCCGCAAGACAGCGAACTCGCCATCGATTTGCGACAAACCGCCGTGGTTGTGATGGCCCACCTCGACCGCCTGGCTACGCCCTGCATGCCCCCGCTGTGCAGCTCTCCAACATCTCACAAGGTGTGTGTGACCATGTTGTTGTTCTCAGACCCCCCAGTTAGTGCTGCCCCAGATGCTCGTGTGCCCGTGTGGTGTAGGGGTAGCTCGCTGAGAGCTTTTTAATATGTGCACAGAGCAGGGTGATCCTGGACCCAGTGCTGAGCGGGCTGAGGCCCACAGGGTTCTGTCCCCCACAGTGTCCCAGGGTCCACACTCGGGGCGCATCCCTGGAGATCTCTTCTTTATTTACATGGCCACCCCCCGCCCTGCCTTCCTCAGGTAGTTCCCCAAGCCTTTTCTATACACGGGGAGCGCAAACGTGGCTGTGCTAACAGTGCTCCTCAGAGCGGTGACGCTTGCCTGTGTGCGCAAAGCCGGCCGTGTCCCCACACGTGGTTGCATCTGGTCTTCACAGCGTAGCCCCATGGCGTCCACAAGGAGACTGTTGCCTCGCATGCAGCGACAGGGAATGTTGCCAGGGCCACAAAGAATGATCCTAGTTTTGAATCCAGGTTTTTTTTAAACATTATTTTTAATCTGAAGAGAGTTTATTTTAGTCGCTCTTTTTCCCAAATGAGTAACATGAACATGGTTCAGAATGAAAGTTAAATGCAGAGACGTACTATATGTTCCTGCCCTGTGTCCTCCCCTCCCATGTGCTGCTGCTGCTGTTTCCTGTCTCACGTCCCTGTCCGTGGGCTGTGGCGGGGCTGGTGGCATTCCTTCTGTGACTTGTTTTTCAGTAAACAGTGTCACTGAAGAGCGTTCTGTGCCAGTAAACAGCCCTGCCTTCATGTGTTCAGAGCAGCGAGCCTTCCACGTGTGGGTGTGTCACGTACTTCTTAGCCTGCCTCCTGCTGGTGGACGCTGTCTCCAGAAGCCAGGTGGTGTGCGGTGACTCACCTGTGTGCCCACTTGCCTGTGGGATCCCCAACATGGGGTCACACGAGCTGGTCACCACCAAGGTGCTCGTGGTGGCTTGATTCCTCTCATCCCACCAACATGGGACACTTGTCTCCAAGTCCTGTGCCCCGGTGCTTGGGTTTCTGCCTGCTGCGGTGCGACGTGGTACCTGGTAGGGTGGGAGCGTTTAGAAATGTGTGTAAGGCCCACGTGTGCTGCTTTCCAATGGGCTCTGACAAGGAGATTGTAGAGAAGACCACTCAGCCCCTTTGTCTTATCTGTGAACCCAGGTGGGATGACAGTTACCAGGTGCTCTGATGCTTGGAATCAGCTTTCTGTCCGTGCTGTTTTATCTGGCGGTGCCTCGGTTTACCCACAGGGTCTCAGTGTCACGCCAGCCTCCAGGATCCTTTTTTATGACCGAGAGAGACATTTTTCTGCTGCTGTAAAGATGGTATCTCCTTACTCTGTTGCCTCAGGGGTCACTGCAGGAAGTCATAGGATGGGGGCTGATAGGCTGGAAATGCTACGCCAACGTGATCGGCCCCATCCAGAGTAAAGGCCTGGCCAACCTGGGCGTCACGCAGATTGCCTGTGCGGAGAAGCGCTTCCTGATCCTGTCGCGGAACGGCCGCGTGTATACGCAGGCCTACAACAGTGACACGCTGGTGGGTGTCCCGGGTGCACCCCTCACCTCCGGGCGGGCGAGTCTATCCTGTAGATGCGACAGAGGCCTGGACTCTAAGTTGTTTACTTCTGAAGAGTTAGAGCCTCTGTTCATTGTGTCTTATCAGTTATGTTTAAAATCTTAATCATAATCATTTTGTCACAACTGTGAGGCAGAGTCTCTTGGTTGCCAAGATCAAGGCTTCCTTACGGTGGCACTCACTCCCCAGGTGGCTCCCACTCGTAAGCTGGCTTCCCGGGTGCAAACTCATTGGGCTGTGGGCCAGGCAGGAGCACGGAGGCCTCTTGGGGATGGTGGCAGGTTGGGGCGGGCTTGTTCCTGTCAGAGGAAAGTGCTCCTCGCCTCGAGCTGTGTGTCCACTGTGTTGGACACTGGGAGGCCTGTGTTGGTGCTGAGTGGGGTGTGGAGCAGCTGGCCCGGCCACCCCCGAAACTCCCATCCTTTCCATGTGACCAGGTTTGTTCACGTGGGACAGAACGGAAGGGAGTCATGCTGTTTTCATTGTTCCTGGGCTGTTTGCTAATAACTTTCTGTGTTTCCCCTTCCAGGCGCCGCAGCTGGTCCAGGGTCTAGCCTCCAGGAACATTGTAAAAATCGCCGCGCACTCCGATGGCCATCACTACCTGGCCTTGGCCGCCACTGGAGAGGTGTACTCCTGGGGCTGCGGGGACGGCGGCCGGCTGGGCCATGGGGACACCGTGTACGTACGGCCGCTCTGTAACTGACGACTCTCCTTTGGTGTTGCTGTGTCCAAAATCTGGAGAAAAGGAAAACTTGGCTCAGTGTTTCCCAGTGGCTCCAACATGCAGGGGTGGGATGGAGCTGCTGCCAGGGTGCCACCTCCTGGGTGACGCTAGCTGCTGGGTGCTCTGCACACAGCACAGGGTGACATCTCCCCCAGCGCCAGCACTTCCAGCTCTTGTCCTCACTTTAGCTACACATGCCGCACCCCATGGAGTTTCTAGAGCAGACCCCACACCTGTTTCTTCAACATGATGAGGCCCCTCCCTCCTAATTGAACCATAGTATCATTTTCCCAGGTACAAAAGTCAATAGTTTCTTAATACCCTACTTTGTGGAAGCTTTTTTAAAAAAATACGTGTTTGTTTTTTTTTTTTATTTCAGAGAGAGGAAGGGAGAGGGAGAGAGAAACATCAATGATGAGAGTCATCGATTGGCTGCCTCCCGCACGCCCCCTGTTGGGGATCGAGCTGCAACCTGGGCATGTGGCCTGACTGGGAATCTAACTGTGAGCTCCTGGATCCCAGGTCGAATCTCAACCACTGAGCCTCACCGGCCTGGCTCTGGAAGCCTTTGGTGATAGGTGGTTCTGAATGCCAGGCTATAAACATGGAGCCGCCGTTGAGGACGGGAACCTGCATACAGTGTTGTTGGGAGTGGGCCTTAGGTGCAACTGCACTCCCAGGGGTCGGAGCCACGATTGGGGACTGGTCAGCCACAGAGTCATGGGGGGACCCTCCTGTGGCCCTGTGGGGGGGAGGTGGACACCCATGGGAAGAACCCCGCACTGCAAAGAGCAGAGTGACACGCGTGTGCTGTCATTCCTCAGAACGAGTCCAAAGTGGCAGCGTGGGAGGGTCAGACACATGTGGTCAAATGGTAGCGGGGACGAGGGAGGGGAAGGAGCCAGCACAGGATGTAGACCTGCGCTCCTGTCAGACTGGAGGGGCTGGGATCGGCATGGGGCGCCCGGGACCTGAGAGGATTGGGCTTCCTGGGGGAGGCTTAAGACTTTTCACTTTTGTTATTTATAGCAGTGTGCAGGAATATTTGGTAATATAATAGTATTAGGCTGAGAATAAGTGTTAGGTTAACTTGTCTGTTGCTTGAGGAGTCGAGGGAAGGAGAAGAGATCAGTGCAGAGGGCAGGAGGTGGAGAGGAACTGGGGGGGTGTTGAAATGGGCAGAACAGAGGAGGAGAGGTGGTACCAGAGCCAGTCATTGGGCCGCCTCTGCGCAGCCTCCTGGCCCCTGTGCATTTCTGCACTTTGCAGACTAGGGGTCGCGAAGTGAGTAAGCCGTGTCTTTGGAGGGGCTGCTGGGGTCACCAAGCACAGACGCATTCTGGGCATTCTGGCTTATAGCTTAAGGCATTCTGCTGGCTTGAAAGTGGAGAATCAGCCAAGAGGGCTGTGCCACAGTCCTTCCTGCCTCCTCTGTATTTGTGGCCCAGGTTGCAGTGTGGTTGGTACACTGCTCCTTCATTCCTCATGCATGAACGGTGTGTGTACCTTTCAGCCACCTGTGGGAGGCTCACAGGTCCGTCGGCTGTAAGTGCCATTTCACGAGTTGTAGCTGATGCTCTTCCCCTTGGCAGAGGCCCTGCCCCTCCAGCCAGGCTGTTGGGTGCGTCGGTTCCTCCCTGTGGCTGAGTGGTGTGTGGACGGGCCACCTGCACCCCTGTGAACACAGCTGCTGTCTTTAGTAGACACTGTCTTGATGTTCCTGCTGGGTGCCATGCTTGGCCTTGGGTGCTCTTTTAATAAAAGTTATGGAGGTGTTAAGTCTTGAGTTCTGTATCCCTCAATCAGTTCATGAGTCAGCCAGAGGGTGAAACAGTCTGGCGACCTTCATAGCGGAAAAAAATTCACTCTGGGCCCAGCCGGGCGTGGCTCAGCGGTTAAACATCAACCTAGGATCCAGGCAATCGGGGTTCGATTCCCAGTCAGGGCACGTGCCCGGGTTGCGGGCTGCAGCCGATCAATGACTCTCTCATCATTGATGTTTCTATCTCTCTCTCTCCCTCTTCTTTCCTCTCTCTGAAATCAATGAAGATATTTAAAAAAAAAAAAAAAATTCACTCTGGGAATAAATGAACTGGTCGGAAATGCTTCAAGGGCATTCACGTTCCTTCCTTTCTCTCTGCAGGCCCTTGGAGGAGCCCAAGGTGATCTCCGCTTTCTCAGGCAAGCAGGCCGGCAAGCACGTGGTGCACATCGCGTGTGGGAGCACGTACAGCGCGGCCATCACCGCCGAGGGGGAGCTGTACACCTGGGGCCGGGGCAACTATGGCCGCCTGGGCCACGGTATGTGGGTGCTGAGCCTGCCGTGCATGGGCGGAGGCTGCCTCCATGCGGGACTTGCAGCACCGACGGCCCTGTGTATCTGCAGGCTCCAGTGAGGACGAGGCCATTCCGATGCTGGTGGCGGGGCTAAAGGGGCTGAAGGTCATCGATGTGGCCTGCGGGAGTGGGGACGCCCAGACCCTGGCCGTGACGGACAATGGTACGTGCAGCTCTGGCTGCCTGGGTGGGCTCTCGGAAGGAGGGCTGCGTCCCTGGGGGCGGAGCTTTGGAGTAGAGGGACCCTTCAGGGCTGCCCCGCTGTCCATCCTTTAAGCGACTGCACCGAGGTGCCCTCGGGGGACACCCAGAAGTCACAGCACTTAGAGCCTCTATTTATAGTCTACATTTAGTATTTTGTATTAGTTTCCGTGTACAGCATAGTGGTTAGACATTCATATACTTTACAAAGTGGTCCCCCCGATATTTCCAGTCCCACCTGGCACCACACAGAGTTATAACAATACAGGGTAAGGCTAAAGTAGGTTTATAGTTTCGGGAATAGTACAATAATTAATAATAATATAGGAATAAACCTTCACATACTGACAACTGTAAACCTACCTTTGCCTCACTGTGCATCACTGACTGTGTTCTTTGTGCTGTAGTTTGTGTCCCCGTGACTATTTTATAACTTCACCTTTTCACCCAGCCCCCGAACCCGCAGGACTGGAACTTCTGTTGCCCAGAGCCAGAGGGGTGGTCTGCAGCCAAGATCCTTCCTACTTGGCCATCTTAGTTTTTAACAGAAAAATAGGAGTTAGGACAGAATAATTGATGGTCTAGACCATTTTGGTTATGAATGCGGTTCCTAATGGTGAGCCACCCCAGGTCCTGGTGGCAAACCGTGCTGAGCCTGTGTGCTGCAGTGTGCGCACTGTCCGCTCTTCTGTATTTGGGTTGATTGGCCAGGTGGCGCTCATTCTACTCTTCTTGAGGGTGCATTTGTCAGGTTTGATGGTTAGAATCATGTTGTTTTAATCTACTTTTAAAAATAATTTTTTTTAAAGATTTTTTATTGATTTTTAGAGGGAGAGAGAGAGACAGAGACGTCAGTTGGCTGCCTCCTGCACGCCCCCTACTGGGGATCGAGCCTGCACCCCGGGCCTGTGCCCTGATCGGGAATCGAACCGTGACCTCCTGGTTCATAGGCTGATGCTCAGCCGCTGAGCCATGTGGCTGGGCTCATGCTGGTCTTTTCAACTGCATTTGCCTTTCAGTGTCTGGGATCTGTCCTTGGACTCCTGTGGCCTGTGAGAATCAGCTGGGGGTCTGTAAGCCTGCGCTTGCCTGCAGAGGTCAAAAGGCAGATTAGAATTGACTTATTTCTGGGAGTTTCTGTGGTGGGAGAGCAGAGGTCATTTCAGGCACCTCGTGTCCAATAGGTCCCACCACCTCTGAGGGGATAGATGTGGTCAGAGTCAGTGCGATTCTGCTTCTGGGAGTTGCAGAGAAAAGATGGCCTCTTCTGTCTCTCCTGGTGTGAAGCTTTTAACCTGATTTCTTATTGTTTTTTAGTGTCCATTACAGAGTGATTGAAATACTTTATGAAACTCTTAAACATTACCGTAAATGTAATTATATGGTTGACTGGTGGTAGCACGAGACCTGAGAGTGGTCAGTGCACTGCACAGTGAGCTGTGGGCCCAGATGGGGGTTTGATTGAGGCAGTGGAGCTTTTTTTATTTTAAATTTTTATTTATTGACTTTAGAGAAAGAGAGAAGGGGTGGGGGGAGAGAGATTGATCTACTGCTCCACTTACTGATGCATCATTGGTTGCTTCTTGGACGTGCCTTGACCGGGGATCGAACCCGCCACCTTGGCGTATCAGGGCGACACTCTGACCGCTGGCACACCTGGGTGGGGCTGAGGCAGCAGAGCTTGTCTTCTGTGTTCTGTGTGTAGTGGAAGCGCTGTCGTCAAGCTCAAGGTAGTTAGAGTCAGGTCCTCATTACTCGTTTAGTTAAATGAGAAGACCTGAGCTTTTGTTAATGCTTCTGTGTTAAGCTGAAGTATAAACTAGGTTTCCTTTTGTCCAAACTACCTGCGTAATGTTAACTCTACGTTCATGGTCTCGATTCGTGTGTTATTGGCTATACTCATTATTGTCAGTCATTTAAAAGTTTCATTAGGATGGGCAGTTTATTGTCACTTAAACGTGTTTGTATTTTTAGGTCAGGTGTGGTCCTGGGGGGACGGTGACTACGGGAAACTGGGCAGAGGGGGTAGTGATGGCTGCAAAACACCCAAGCTGATCGAAAAGCTTCAAGACTTGGACGTCGTCAAAGTTCGGTGTGGAAGCCAGTTTTCTATCGCTCTGACAAAAGACGGCCAAGTCTACTCATGGGGGAAAGGCGACAACCAGCGACTCGGGCATGGAACAGAGGAACATGTCCGTTACCCCAAACTCTTGGAGGCCTTGCAAGGTGAGTGTTAGATGTAAACTTTTAAAACTCTTTGTGGGGATTTCTTTAGTAATATTTTTAGGTTTTCAGGTTCTTCTTTTCTTTGCCTGAAATGCCATGAATGACCCATCAGTAGAGGCTCTTACCCACAGCTCGACAGGTATAAGGAATAAATGGAAAGTGTTTGTTACATTAAAAACATGGCCTAGAATTATTATCACCAAACAAGTTGAAACTCATTCGGTTCACCAGTATTGGAGAGAACTTGTGGCAGGCACCCGTTCATCAGTTAGTAAGCTGGCCACCGTGGGATCAGCTTCTGTCTGGGGAGGTCACTGTGGCCACCCTGTGGCCGTTGCCGAGCCTGTGGGAGCGCAGTGGGGCATGGTGTTGGGTCTGCTGTAGAGCTATATTTGAATTTCATTTGCCACCTTCTTTATATTTTCTTCACTTAGTAAAAAAATCAACTTCCTCAGCTGCATTTATTAGATACAGAGATAGGTTACTATGAGAGTCATTAGGGGATTGTTGATACGGTCCCTTTGGTTGTGGTTGTTAACTTATGATAAGCGTTTAGGGTGGAACTGTTTCCCTTACTACAGTAGAGTTTTTCAGCTGAATTATTTTTTATATGTTGACATTTCTAAAAACACTCCCTCATGGTAGTCATGTTAAATTTATTAAAGAGCAAAAATACAGTATCTTGCTAGCACTATATAAGTTAGAAAAATGCATTTTACATTTATATCGTCTGACTTGGGAGAAAAATCGATTTTGTTTTAGGAAAACCCACCTTAATGAAGAGCATGTCACGTTCTCTAGTACAGACTATAGTCTGGGCTGTGACCCTGTCTGCTCTTAGACCAAGGGAATTAAACTAGAAATCAATAACAAAGGGAGCTGGAAAATTCCAGAATACATGGAGATTAAACAGCAAGCTTCCAGTAACACACGGGCCAAAGAAAAAATGTCAAGGGGGATTTTATAATTTTGAACTACGTGGAAATGAAGACACAACTTACCACAGTTTGTAGGACGCAGCAAAAGCAGTGCTTAGACGGAAAGTTATGGCATTGAAGGCATGTGTTAGAGAAGACGACAGACCTAAAACCAGGGCTTTTCCTGTGGAGCAAAGAACCACCAGCAATGGTCTTGAACACCAAGTAAGAGACCATTGCGGGAAGGGTCGGCGAGACCATTTTAATGACCAAGTTGTGCAATACAGAATCTGGTCTTAATGTTTAAGGACCAGTGGGAAAGCGGGTAGTTGGTAAAACACAGTGAAAAGCAGTGATTAGGAAAGAAAATTAGAGCCAGTTCTGGTTTATACTGTGAATGGTTTTAATTCCTTCGATAAGTACATTACACATAAAGAAACAGTCAACAAAATGAAAAAGCAACCTGCTGAATGGAAGAAAATACTAAATCATATATTTGATGAGGGGTTAATATCTAAAGTATATAAAGAACTATTGCTCAATAGCAATAAACCAAATAACCCAACTTAAAAATGTCAGAAGATCTGAATAGACATTTTTCTGAAGAAGATACACAGATGGCCAGCAGGTGCATGAAAAGATGCCTGACATCACTAATCACCCGGGAAACGCATATCAAAACCACAGTGCGCTATCAGCTCACACCCCTCAGAAATCTGTCATCAGTAAGTCAGCAAGGATGTGGGAAGGGAGAACTCTGGTGCATTCTTGGTGGGAATGTAATTGGTGCAGCCACCATGGGAAACAGTATGGAGGTTCCTCAAAGAATTAAAAATACAATTTACCATACGATCCAGCAGCCCCACTGCTGGGTACATATACATATACAAAGGAAATGAAACCAGAACCTGAGAAGGCATCTGCACCCTGTGCTCAGGGCAGCATTACTCACAGTGGCCAAGACATAGAAGCAGTGTAAGTGTCCGTCAGTGGGTGAATGGACAGAGCAGATGCGGCATGTGTACAAAATGGGATATTATTCAGCCGTTTAAAAAAGAAGGAAATCCTGCCATTTTGATGCCATGGATGGACCTTGCGGGCGTTATGCTAAGTAGAAGAAGCCAGAAAGACAAGCACTGTATGATTTCACTTATATCTAGAATCTAAAGCACATGTATACCCCCCCCTCGAAATTGAACTTTCACAATCACCAATCTGTTCTCTGTATCTGTGTGGCAGGGGTTGGAGGGTGGGCAGAATGGGTGGAAGTGGCCAGAAGGTACAAAGGTCCAGTTATAAAGTAGATCAGTCCTGGAGGAAAACTGTAAAACTGATGAACAAAACCGAAGAGCACAATAAATGGAGAAGCACTCTGTGTTCATGGATGGGAAGGGGGGATATTGTCAAGATGTCCGTTTTTTCCAACTTGATCTGTAGATTCAGTACAGTTCCAATGAAAATCCAGCCAGTTATTTTGTGGATATTGACAAACTGATTTTTAAAACAATTTATCTTTATTGTTGAAAGTATTACAAATGTCTCCCTTTTCCCCCCTATTGATCCCCTCCCCACTTTACCCCTCCCACCAGGCTTTCACCCCACTATTGTCTGTGTCCACGGGTTATGCATATATGCATGTAAGTTCTTAGGTTAGTCTCACACCCATCCACCCGCCCCTGCCTTCCCTCTGAGGTTTGTCCGTCTGCTCCATGCTTCTGTGTCTCTGGATCTATTTTGTTCATTGGTTTATTTTGTTCATTAGATTCCACATGTGAGTGAGATCACGTGATACTTGTCTTTCTCTGACTGGCTTATTTCACTTAGCATAATACTCTCCAGGTCCCTCCATGCTGTCCCAAAGCGTAAGGGATGCTTTCTTACAGCTGCGTAGTATTCCATGGTGTAAATGTCCGAGAAGATGTTTGATACGATTTCAGTCTTCTTGAACTTGAAGAGACTTGTTTTGTGTCCTGACATGTGGTCTATCTTTGAGAATGTCCCATGTGCAGTTGAGGAGAATGTATATTCTGCAGTTTTGGGGTGAAATGGTCTGTAAATGTCAATTAAGTCCATCTGATCTAGTGTGTCATTTACAGACACTGTTTCCTTGTTGATTTTTTGTCTGGAAGCTCTATCCAGTGAAGTCAGTGGGGTGTTAAAGTCCCTGCTGTGACTGTATTGCTGTCCATCTCTCCCTGAAAGGCCTCCAGAAGTTGTTTTTCCACCCTCAGCCTGTGTGAGTCTTTTGTTCTGAGGTGGGATATTTGTTGACAGCATATATTTGGGTCTTGTTTTCTTACCCTTTCAGCTACCCTTTGTCCTATGACTGGAATATTTAATCCATTTACATTTAAGGTTATTATTGATAGGTATTTATCTATTGCCACTTTATTTCTTTATGCCTGTGTTTCTCTTTCCTGCTATTTCACCTTCTTGACAAAGTGATTTTAATGATTATAACAATATTGAAGGAAAAACAATTTGAAGAACTGACACTACCCGACATCAAGACTTACTATAAAGCTACAGCAATCAAGGCTGTGGCGTTGGCTAAAGTATAGACAGATGGATCATTGAGCAGAACCGAGAGCTCAGACAGAGACCCACATAATGTAGTCAGGGGACCTTTGACAAAGGAGCACAGACACTGCGATGGAGCAGAGGAAGTCTTCACAGCAGTTGGTGTTGAACAACGGGACATCCCCACGCAGAAGTGAATAACTGATAATGGGGGAGGCTGCGGGTGTGGGGGTAGGAAGCATATGGGAAACCTGTGCCTTCCCCTCAGTTTTGCTGTGAACCTAAAACTGCTCTTAAAATGGGAAGTCTTATTTTTTTTTAATACAATACTATGCGTGGTCATACCTTGGGCTGGGAGAATGTGATCTGATAGTTAATTAAAAATACACTTGTCTCTGAAGATGAAACTCTCAATGAGGAGGAAAACCCAGCAGATTCTTTGGATGCCCTAGCATCATTTTATTTGCAGGCTGTGGGTCTTAATAAATTGTAGCTAGTGAAACATAACCAGGGTTTTAATAACGTAGACACAGTGGGTGAATTGTGCATAATTGTAAAGCAGCGAGTTACCATTTAGGAGCCGACATAGTGGCCTGGGTGTCTCTGTTGCAACAGCAGCGACAGGTGGCGCTGTAACTGCTCCGCTCTCCCGCAGGGAAGAAGGTGATTGACGTGGCTGCAGGCTCCACCCACTGCCTGGCGCTGACGGAGGACAGCGAGGTGCACAGCTGGGGCAACAACGACCAGTGCCAGCACTTCGACACCTTGCACCAGACCAAGCCGGAGCCCGCTCCACTGCCAGGGATGGACACCAAGCACATAGTCGGAATTGCCTGTGGACCGGCCCAGGTACGGGACACGGAGCTGCGCCTGGAGTTCTGCTGCGCTTTGACTTTGCGTCGTCCGTGGCTGGTACTTGGAAGTACTGTTGATTGTGTTACACTCACTAGCTCTAGGAGCTTCCTTGCTGATTCCTTAGGATGGAGACAAGTTTGTTTCTTCTTTTCAGTGCGTGTGCCTTTATTTCCTTCCCTGCTTTATTGCACGGGCCAGGACCTCCAGCCCGGTGTGGAGCAGGCGTGGGGAGAGGAAGCAATCAGTCTTTCATCACATACTTCGATGTTAGCTGGAGGGTTTTCGGTAGATGCCTCCTGATCAGATTAAGGCAGTTCTTTTACCTCTTGCTTTTTATCCTGAATGGCTGTTGAAGTTTGTCAAGTACTTTTTCTTCTCGATGATCCGACCGCGTAGTTTCCGTTCTTTAGCCTGTTTGTGTGGGGGATCACGTTGACTGATGTTCACACACTCCACGGACATGCATTGCTGAGCTGAACCCCCCGGTCATGGGTGTTACTCTTTTCACACGTTGCCAGAGTGGATTTGCTGAGACACTCCCGAGGAATTCTGTTGTCGATGCTCATGGCTTTCTCATGCTCTCGTCTGACTTCATTGGGGCAAGACTGGCCTCACAGGAGGTGTTGCAGGTGTTCCTTCCTGCTGTTTCCTAGGAGGGACTGTGTAGAATTGGTGTGACTTCATTTCTATGGCTTCTGTGTGTTATCGTTAATGCTGTTGTAGCTCTCACTGAGTTCCCTGAGCTCTAGCTGAGTTCATTGAGCTCTCGCCGAGTTCCCTGGGCTCTCGCCGAGTTCCCTGGGCTCTCGCCGAGTTCCCTGAGCTCTCGCCGAGTTCATTGAGCTCTCCCCGAGTTCCCTGGGCTCTCGCCGAGTTCCCTGAGCTCTCGCTTAGTTCATTGAGCTCTCTCCGAGTTCATTGAGCTCTCCCCGAGTTCCCTGGGCTCTCGCCGAGTTCATTGGGCTCTCGCTTAGTTCCCTGGGCTCTCGCCGAGTTCATTGAGCTCTCGCCGAGTTCATTGGGCTCTCGCCGAGTTCATTGGGCTCTCGCTTAGTTCCCTGGGCTCTCGCCGTGTTCATTGGGCTCTTGCTGAGTTCATTGAGATCTCACCGAGCTCCCTGGGCGCTCACTGAGCTCCTTGAGCGTCTTTATAACAGTGCTTTGAACTCTGCATCTGGCAGATGGCTGGTCTCCATTTCATTTAGTTCTTTTTGGAGTTTTCTGTTCTTTCCTTTGGGACTGTTTCTTTGCATTTGGACTGTTCCCCTGTGTGTGTTTCTGTGTATTAGGTAGAGCTGCCTTGTCTCCTAAAAGGTGGAGCGGCTGGGTGTAGCAGGTGTCCTGTAGTTCCCGGTGGCTCAGCCTCCCCAGTCACCCGAACTGGTTCCTCCAGGTGCGCCCGTGTGGGTTGTGTGCAGGGTCCTGTTGTAGTTGAGCCTTGATTGCTGTTGGTGTCACTGGGAGGGATTCATCCCCAGGACATTTGGCTTGAAGGACCAGCTGCAACTACAGCCGAAGAGCTGCTGTGCAGGAGCTGACCCTACAGAGCAGGATTTGCTTTGGTGGAGCTTTGGTGCTCATCGAGTCTGCCCCTTGTGTGTGTTGCTCGTGAAGGTGGTAGGGTTGTAAGCCCTCGTGGTCTGAAGCTGTCCACCAGGTTTACCGCCTCTGGGGCCTCCTGCGAGGTGCAAGGTCAGCCTCCGCTTGTGCCCAGCCTGGGGACACTGAGCATGAGCTACAGACCATCTACAGATGGCCGCTTAGAGGTGCCCACGAGAAGCCAAGCTGTGAACCGAGGCCACCTGCTGCTAGTCCAGGCCTGGAGCCACTTAGAAGTACAGGGTGTGCAGGGGCCAGATGCTGCTTGCTTGAGAGAGACAGTGGTGCCTTGGTTTTCGAACGTCTCCGTTGGTGAACATTTCAGGTTCCCAACGCCGTAACCCGGGATGGCAATGCTTCAGTTTTTGAACCCTCCTCGGAAGTCAAACATGCCATGCGGCTTCTGCTGAGGCCGGGATCCTGAGGCCCAGCTCTCGGCTGTGGATCCCTCGGTTTTCGAACATTTCAGAACTCGGATGGGCTTCCAGAACGGGTCACATTTGAAAACTGAGGTACCACTGTATTAGAAAAGTATGAAGCTTGAAGCAGGAGAGGCACTTTGTATGGAAAAACCACTGGAAGTGGCTTGGGTGGGTTTGAAAGTTAGGTGGGGCCGGGTCTCAGGGAATCACCAGGGTGGGTGAACAGTGATAGCTGGATTGATGGAGACTCAGTACGGCAGCCGCCCGCCGTTGGGCTCTGTGGGGGGCGGGCTCAGCAAAGCAACACTGGCCTCTGCCGGCTCTTCTGTCTGGGAGAAAGCTGCCCTCCACCTCTCCCTCGGATCCAGACAATTCAGTTTCTCCCGGGGTGTCCCTGCTGGCCCAGCGCCGGAGCCCAGAGGGAGGGAGTCCGAGTAAGTCCGGGTATGGCCCTTCAAGAGGAACACCTGGGACTCCAGCAGCCTCATGTCCTTCAGCTCCAGTCCCTGCTGGTTTTCACAGCTAGAGTTATGGGGCCTTCTCTTCCCAGCACTGGGACTGTGGGCTGAGGAGGACCTGCTGTGGGGCTGGCAAAATGAGGTGGGTAGTGAAACGAGAGAGAATTGGAAGCCGACAGCATGAGCTAGACGGCCACGAAACTCCACATGCGTTTGTGCCTGTGGGACGGATGGGTAAGGCGCGACTTAGGGCATTTCATCGTTCCTGGTGGCGCGACCAGTCACTGAACGTATCAGCTCATTTTCGGTTCTTGTGTTTCTCCCGTAGAGTTTTGCTTGGTCTTCGTGTTCCGAGTGGTCTGTTGGCCTCCGTGTCCCTTTTGTGGTGGACATCTGCTCAATGACCTTTGAGCAGCTGGACCTCCTCCTGCGGCAAGTGAGCGAGGGGATGGATGGCACAGCCGACTGGCCACCCCCCCAGGAGGAGGAGTGCATGGCCGTGGCGACGCTGAATCTCCTGCGACTCCAGGTACGGGTGCCTGCCCCTCCTTTCGGAGTGTCTGGGTGTTTGTTATAATGTTGATGGTATTGAGGGGTGTGGGTTTTAGCCTGTCAAACTGCTAATGAAAATGTTTAAATTTGGGGTGATCTTATTTTTCTTTGTAATAAAGTCGTATGACTTAATGCTGAGAAAACAGTTTTTCTTAATAATTTTCCCCCTTTTATAATACGAGGATTTCTCTGTGACCCATCGTGTCCCCTCCCACGTTCCCGACATTTTGCATTGGCTTCTGGAAGGAAAGAACTGAATGTTTAGTTGCATTAATCAGATGATCAGGAGTGTGGAGCGTCCCTGTCTTTCCAGAAGTCTTGGAGCGGGGCTCACCTGGGACACCTGTGGTGTTCTGTGCCTCCCTGGACCTGCCCCACTGCCTGTCCCCTCCCATGGTTCACGGTGATGCCGCTGCTCTGGTCACGCTGTGTAGGGTCCTGTGCAGGCCTTAGGCTCGGTTCCTTCTGGTCTGTGTTGGCTTCGTGCCATGTGTGTTCCCGTTGCCTTAGTCCAGGCCCTTGGGCTGTAGCTGTCTTTTTAAAAACAGGCCCGTAGGGCTTGGTTCCTAGAAAATCCACTTTGAGTTGTGTTCAGCAGACGGGTTTAAGTCTTCACTGTCACTGTGGCTCTTGGCGCCTTTACTCTAGCCCTTCTTACTAGTTTTTGTGCAAGTTCTTCATTTCATTGATTCTCTGTTGGTCAAGTTTCTAAATTTTTTCGAATTCACGATCTTTTTTTTCTTCAAGTCCCTTTCATTGTTCCTGAGCTTTAAAATTTGACATCTGGATGTTAGCCGTGGTATAATGTTAAATATTTGTTACTGCACAAGGCTTTAGGTTAATCAGTGCTGCTTTTCCTGAGACAAGGGGTCACAGGCTGCATGAAGGCTAAACTCGCCTCCCCACCATCAGTATTTCAGTTACTGGTGATCTGTAATTACATCGGGTCTAGGCAGGCAGTGAGAATATGTGTGAGTATGTGAGTGCGCGTGTGTGTGTGTGTCTGAGTGTGTGGGGGGCTGTGTGTGTGCACATGCGCACGTATCACTGAAAGAAAATGTTCCCAGTTGTAATTTGTAAGATATATTCTGGTTTTAGAGATATTAGGGCATGAAAAATGGCGCTTGGGAGTGGTGAAATACAGCAATTTTTTTTACTTTCCCCTAATTATTATCATAATCATAACTTTTAGAGTCCACACTTACTCAGATGTATTGCCTTTTGTCCCTAACCAGTCTGTTTTGTCATTTTGTTATATCCCCTCCTTCCTGGCACCTCTAGTCAGTTTCTTCATCGAGGTCTGTGAGTTACAAAGTCCGAAAACTGCTTCCCTCCCCCTTTACATAAGTCAGTGGGGCTGAGTTTTTAGGGTTTCCTGTTCCTGTATCAGCTTTCTGAAGAATTCTCTTGTCTTCTGACCTTCATCGTTGCCAACGAGAAATCTTACCTAATACAACTTTCACTTTAGCTGATTTGTCTGTCTTTCTCTGGGAGCCTTTCTGATTTTTCTGTCTTGTGTGTGTAATTTTGATACATTATTTTTGTATTTACAGCTTGAGGTTATGATTTTCATTTGCTCTGAGATTACATATCTTCATTAAGTTTTTTTTATTCTGGTACCCTTCATTTGAAAAAACATAACTCCATAACTGTCCATCAGATAAGAGGACGTTATTTGCAATGCCCTGTCTCTCCTTTGGATAATGTAGATAATTAAATGAAAACTGGGTCCCATAAACGTGTCTCGTTGTCATACCTCTGGGTGGGTGTTTTCTGTCCCTTATTCTTGATACTTTAAGGCCATTTAACAGTATCCCCAGGAAAGAATGTACGTTAACTCCCCCCTCAGAAGATAATTGCATCGTATACTTCATGGAAGGTTGGACATCATCTTTGCGTTTTTTTAACTTATTTTTTGTCAATTTTTTTTTATTGCAATTTACTTGGTTGCACTTCACAGGTGTTACATTTTTTACAAATTGAAGGTAAGACCCTCCACCAGCAAAAGGATGACTCACTAAAGGCTCAGATAACGATTAGCGTATTTTAGCAATAAAGTTTTATTTTTACTCCTCAACTGAGGACATGCTTATTGATTTTAGAGAGAGGGAGAGAAACACCGATTGATTGCCTTGCCGCAGATGCCCCGACCGGGGCTGGAACCACAACCCAGGGGTGTCCTGATGGGGAATTGGACCTTCCAGTGTAGGGGATGGTGCTGCAGCCAGCTGAGTCACACCAGCCTGGGCTAAAGTTTTTTTAATGAGTCTATTTCTGTTCTGCTTGTTTATTTTGTCTTTTATATTCAGTTGTTGATAGATATGTAGTTGTTGCCATTTTGTTCGTATTTTTTCTTTTTTCTTCTTAAAGACCCTTCAACATTTCATGTGATACTGGTTGGGTGGTCGTGAACTCCTTAGGCTTTTTCTTGTCTGGGCAGCTCTATCTGACATGTGATTCTAAATGATAGCTGTGCTGGGTAGAGCAATCTTGGTTGTAGGTCCTTGCTTTTCATCACATTGAATGATTCTTGCCACTCCCTTCTGGCCTGCAAGGTTTCTGTTGAGAAATCAGCTGACAGTGTTGTGGGAGCTCCCTTGTAGGTAACTAACTGCTTTTCTCTTGCTGCCTTTAAGATTCTTTGTCTTTGTATCTTTGCTCAGTACTCACCATTGTACTTGCTTTCTCTCTTTCACCTCCTTTCCCTTGGAGACGGCTACTCAGCATGTGTGGAACTTTCCCATTTCATCTTCCCAAGTGTCACAACTTGTTTGGTTTTTAAAAATCTGTTTATCTTTTTAAATGGTAACTTTTGATCTTTCCGTTCTGCCTTCTGGGTAGTTTCCTCAGCATTCTCTTTCCCTTCACAAATGCTCCCTTTAGCTGAATGTTGCATATATTTGAATTGTTCATGATCTCTGCTTTACACACATTAACTCCTTAAGTCCCTGAGCCTGTCCTCTGAGAGGCACAGAGAAGTCCTGGAACACTGCTCAGGTCGGCACCTGGTGCATGGAGGCTCGGGCTGGAACCCGTGGTCCGGGCTCTTCACACCTCTGCCTTGAGGTTTCTGTTTTGGTGGCAGTTTTCCTCATCTTTAGAATTTATATTTGGGTCTTTTCTAAGGCTTTCATGTTGCTTATGATGTCCTCACCTTCTGGGTTTTGTCCTTCCTTGATCTCTGAGAACATTTACTTACTTTATGGGTTCATTCCAGTTTTTTATTCCCGCCACCTCTTGGGGCATGTGTTTTGCCTCTTTTTCTGTCTGTACTTTCCCTCGTGGTAACCTCGTGTGGCTTGTCCTTTCTGAGTGCGAGGCCAGCTTCCAGGGAGCATACGCTGGGGGGGTATCACTTTACCCTTGTCTGTGGAGATGTCCCCAGAGGGCATTTTAGTATTTGCATCTCCAAGGTTCCATGAGATTCTCAGGTTCTCGATAAGTTTGGCGTTCAGTTCTTGACGTAATGATACCTATACCTAGATGGTTGGTGTAAGTTTGATTTCAGGTATGCTCACAAGGCAGCCCGGTCTCTGACATTTTTAAGAATAGTTTATTGATTTTTAAAGAGGAAGGGAGAAGGCCCTGACTGGGAATTGAACGAGTGGTGCATGGGATGACACCCAGCTGAGCCACATTGGCCAGGGCACATTGGATTTCCTTTTCATTTTTTTGATGTTCCCTTTTTACCCAAAACCTTGTGTGGGCAGTGGGTTGCCCTCAGGCCCTGGCTAGCTGGCAAGTGGGGCATCTTGAGCAGCTCCCAGCCTTCTGCAGGAAGCTTAGGCTCAGAGGGCTGTCTGGGCAGTTTGGGTCTCAAGCTGAGACTTTAGTCTGCTCTCAGAGCCCAGAACCTCATGGCTCCTGCTGTGTGTCTGTGGGAGTTCTAGTTTGGGCCTGTATACTCTCAGCTTGGGTGTGTCATCTTTGAACATTTTGTTTGTTTGTTATATTACAGTCACTGTTTCTCTGTGTTTGGTGCAGATGGTTGGGTGTGGTGAAGGTTGCTGTTTCCACATGGTTTAACCTCTGTTCGTCTTGAGTCTATAATAAGTATTTCCATATAAGTGTTCATAGTTGGGTGTTAAAAATTTCTCTTATAAAAACCTCACCATGGATTCTCAGTCACTATGGGTAAAATGCTTATAGTACAGTTTTAAAAATACATATGCTGGAAGTTTTTCCTTTATTATTTGAATGAATGAGGGCTGCTAAGTGGACATTTCTTTGTCATTTCAGCTGCATGCTGCCATTAGTCACCAGGTCGACCCAGAGGTGCTTGGTTTGGGTCTGGGCAGCGTCCTCCTCAACAGCCTGAAGCAGACTGTGGTGGCGCTGGCCAGCAGCGCGGGCGTGCTGGGGACTGTGCAGGCGGCCGCCCAGGCCGTGCTGCAGAGCGGCTGGTCTGTGCTGCTGCCCACGGCCGAGGAGAGGGCCCGAGCACTCTCCGCTCTCCTGCCCTGCGCAGGTGGGTAGGTGGGGAGCGGGGCTTGGGGGAGGAGGGAATGTGCCAGGAGGAGATGCATTAGCTCACACTGGCAAAATCTCTTTTCTGCTTCCAGTTTCAGGCAATGAGGTCAACGTGAGTCCTGGCCGCCGATTCATGATCGACCTTCTGGTGGGCAGCCTGATGGCTGATGGAGGCTTGGAGTCGGCCCTAAATGCAGCCATCACTGCGGAGATCCAGGTATGGCCCAGAGTGTGTGTGCCGCAGGGCACTTTCCCCCAGCAGTGAGAACAGCCACGTGTTTTCTGTAACTGAAAGTCTTGTCTTGCTCTTACTAGTGTAGTTTTTGTTGAGTATGATAAAACGCATCCTCTGTACGTGTCCGTTAGAGTGACCTGGACAGACACCTCGATCGTGTTGTAAGTCATTCCTGTCACGCAGCTGGAGCCCTGTGCGTCTGCACTCGGAGCTAGGATCCTCCCTTCTCCCTCGGGTTCAGTTAACGTCGCCAGTTCTGCTGTCCCATAAACGGAATCATAGAGTGTGTGCTTTGTGTGTCTGCTTTACTCTGTCTTGAGAGATTTTCAGGTGCACCTTCGTTGGTGCCTGCTCCTTTGCTTCCACTGTAGTGCCCCATTGTGTGACCACAGCACCATTCGTCTGCTTCTCCTGTTCATAGACTAGGTTGTCTTAGACTCTGTAAAGCTTTGTCACGCTGTGAGCAAGTCCTCTAGTGAGCACACGTTTCTTCTCTCTAGTAAATCCTCTGAATTAGGATTTGCTGGGTCCCAGGGTGATTGTGTATTGATAGTTTCCCAGGGCAGCTGTGCCATTTGCGTTGGGACCAGCCTGCGTGCGAGTTCTGGCCCTTCCTCCACTGCCCTGGAAGTGAGGCATGTCCAGCTCTGTAACTTTGGCTTTTCTCAGGGTGTGGTTTTAGTTTGTGTTCGCCTATGCTTATTGGCCATTCAGAGCTGCTTTTGTTGCTTTCATTGTTGTAATAGTTTTTGATTTAAAAACTTATATTGGGAAAATTAGATGAAGCCAGTGTATTTAAAAACGTCTTTGAAAACATACTGAATACTCGGATTAAATTGAGGAAGTGAGAAGAAGTCACGTCTGTGGTGACGTTGCGGCGACCACCGTTCTCTGTGCCCCTCTCTCTCCCAGGCACTGGGCTGTGTGCTTCCCTTTTTTCTTTTAACCTTGGCAATCGTTTGAGTGGGAAAAGGTGTGTTTTTAAAAAAAATGTGTTTTTATTGGTTTTAGAGAGAGAGGAAGGGAGAGGGAGATAGAAACATCAGTGTGAGAGAGAAACATCGGTTGGTTGCCACCTGCATGTCCCCTACTGGGGATCGAGCCCACAGCCTGAATATGTGCCTTGATAGGGAGTCAGCCTGGCGACCTTTCAGGGCCCGGGGTGGTGCTCAGACAGCTGAGCCACCGTGGCGAGGGCGAGACAGTTGTTTAGAATCCCATTTTACAGATGGGGTGTCAGTGCCACAGGCCTGCTGTGGTGTCAGGATTGGTGCGCTGCGGCTTTGCGAACTCCAAGCCTCTGCCTTTTCTTCCTGGGCCTCACGTGGCCCCGTGTGACAGCAGCCTGACGGGAGCACAGGCAGCCACACTGGGCCAGACAGTCACTGTGCCGGCACCTCAGCAGTATGTTTGGAGCCTGTTCACTTAGTTCACAGGTGTTTATTCTGTGCTTCCTGCTGGGGAGGGAGGGACAGAGGGAGGGACAGACATGTAGCTTGAGGAGGGCCTGGCTACAGAGATGCCGGCTGTGACCTCCACCGTAATAATTAAGGTGCCTAAAAATAGCCAAAGGCCAGTTATTTTAAAACAAAAATGTTTTGAAGCTATAGGAAGGCAGAAGCACATACGACATCATTTAGGTGTCGCCATTGGTAACACTTTCAGTGTAAACATACTTGCAGACTTGACCACGCAGGTGTTTGTGGTGATTGGTTATGGTACTGGAGTCGGTCTTGGCGCCGTATCGGTTTGCATGTTTTCACGCATCGTCCGTGCTGTCTGCTCTGCTGCTGGGTCCACTTGGTCTGCTGCTGTGGGGTCTGCCACAGGGAAGGGAGTCGCTTTGTTTCGTTTTGTTTGTTAATCCTTGTAACTCAAGGATTTTTTGTATAGTCAGAGTGAATGTACCACCTCCACTCTCTAACTTCAGAACATTTCCATCCCCCACAGAGAACCCCTATGCCCTTCAGCCACTCCCCACCCCGCCCCAGCCACCCCACATTGACCGACTTCCTGTCCCCAGATGCGTCCTGTGGTGGACGTTGCATATGAATGGCTTCATACAAGTGGCTTCTTTCCCGCAGCGCAGTGTTTTCCAGGTCCATCCAGGCCGTAGCCCCTGTGTAGCGTCAGTTTTTAACTTGCTAACACTATTCCATTGTGTGGCTGTAGCACAGTTTGTTCCCACACTCAGCTGGTGGACATTTGGGTTGTCTCCACGTTTGAGGTGTGAACGTAGGTCTGTAGGTTTCTGTGTGGACCTGTGTTTTATTTCTTAGGGTACGTGCCTCGGAGGGGTGGTTAGTTCTGTGGTGGCTCTACATTCAATATTTCGAGGACAGCCAGGCTGTTTCCTTCAGAGGCTGCACCGTTCTGTGCTCCTGGCCGCAGTGCATGAGCGTTCCGGTTTCCCCCATCCCCGCCAGGGCTTGCTGCTGGCCATCTCTTAGTGCAGGCGTCCTAGCGGGTGCAGGTTTCATTGTGACTAATGATGTCCAGCATCTTTTCAGGTACTTATTAGCTACTTGTATATCTCCTTTGAAGATATGTCTTCCCGGCCTTTGCCTGCTTTTAAATTGGGTTAAATTTAACTAGATTTGAGTTACAAGAATCCGTTCTGTATTCTGGACACATCTCTCTTAACTGATGTGTGGGTCATTGCTTCATGTCCTCAAACAGATGGACTGTGTGTGCGGGGCCCATCGCAGTGGTTGGCTGCGAGAGCCGGCAGCAGGGGTACAGACTTCAGGCCTTCTCAGAAGGGGGCTGGAGACCACTGGCGGTGGCAGGCTGGATGTTGGATTTGTGGGACAGTCTGTTTAGAAACTAGTGACAAGATATAAACAGGTGTGTGGGGGCCAGTGTCACCTGCTGTGTGAGTTACGAAGGGACGGCCAGGCTGTGGGAGTGGGGCCCAGCCCAGGGGGCCTTCACACCTGTCTCCAAGATAACTGGTAACCAGGTTCTGTTTTATGAATTACAGGATATTGAAGCCAAAAAAGAAGCCCAGAAGGAAAAAGAAATTGATGAACAGGAAGCGAACGCCTCAACGTTTCACAGAAGCCGGACTCCCCTGGATAAAGATCTTATTAACACGGGGATCTATGAGTCTTCGGGAAAGCAGTGTCTGCCTCTGGTCCAGCTTATACAGCAGCTTCTTAGGTAAATAGTGTTAGATCCTTTCTGACAGGGTTGTTGCTTTTTATATTAAGGCAGTGAGATGACGTGTTTGGCTATGGAGGAGGTGTCCTGAAGTTGACCCATATAGGTTTTAGTGCAGAGAACAGACTGAAGCACAGATGAGGGGGAGGTTAGAGGTTGTATGAGGTGGAGCTGGAGGTTCTGCAAGTTTTCACGCAGGAAATGCGATGTACAGTAAGCTCAGGAAACGCTCTTACCCTCACTAAGCAGGCAGGTGCCAAGGAGTCCTCGTGGGATGGTCACTTTTAAACAACTGTGTATCGTCACCTCATTCTGTATATTGCAGCTTTACCTGTGTCACTTTGTAAGGCAACTTTGCGCTTCAGAGTTGTACATAGGATGGTGAGTGTTGTTTTCGAAGGCTCGACCAGGAGGCAGTGAGACTCGTCACAGTCAGAATGTGAACAGACCGCGTTGACGAGGGCCCCAGTGCTCAGACGCGGGCTGAGGACTGTCAGCTGGCCTTCCAGTGCCGTTCACAGAGAGAAGGGGGGTGGCTGCTCCCTTAACAGGGGCCCTGCTCTGTGCCAGCTGGCCCCTGGCTTTTCGTCTGCACAGAGTGTAGAGGCCTGCAGGGTGGGCCCAGGCAGCCATGTCCAGGGAGCGGCAGCGTCCAGTGTGTCCAGCGCAGCGATGTTGGCGTGCTGCGTGGGCAGCCCGCTCTCCACACCCAGAAATGCCAGGAGTTCCTGGGCACACAGGGAACTGGTAAAAGGGAGTTCAGAGCGAGTTCCTTACGCAGGTTTTAGTAAGTGCTGATCAGAAACCTTTTGTTTTAGTTTTTTTGATCTGCTGACGTTTCCTGTGACCATTTCCCGTGTTGTGACGTTCAGTAGAACAAAGTGAAGTCAAGAGAATTCTGTTGCTGGTGGTAGTGGAGAGAGTTTGGGATTTGTTGCTAGAAATTCCCATTGTGACCCCTTGTGTGAAGTTGGCAGATGCAGCTCGCCCAGCACAGTTCCTGTGGGCACAGTCACAAAGGCAGTGTTTATGTGATGATATTACTTAGGATCCAGTGAGAAAATGGGTGTTGAGTGCTTGGTAATGACAAGGCCAGGTTCTCTGCAGACACTTGAAAGCATAAAGCATGTATCTCGAAAGTGCTCTTCTGAGTTCTCAAATGGCCCTCCCTTCGCCAAGAAGGCTGCGTGGGCCCCGGTGTCTCCAGGTTCCCCACCTCCACTGGTGGCAGGTCACTGTTGTCACGAGGGGCCAGCTCCTGCTCTCCTTGGTGCTCAACCTATTGGTCCCTTGGTGTGGAGACACCTGACTGCCTTACCTGCCTGCATCTGCGCTGTTCAGTCTGGAAGTTCTGCCCATGTTGGGATGGTGAGCACTTGAAATGTGTCCAGTATAGTTGAGACATTTCATTTTTTACTAATCAAAGCTCAGTTATTTTAACTGAGTTGTTGTTTTTTGTTTTTTTTTACTAAATTCAAACGTAAAAACTTAAACCTGACTTTACTCTTAGAAAACTATTAATTATGCTTAGAATAACTTGGCCATATGAATTTACTTTGGCAACTGTGCATTTTATGACTAAATGCAGATCAAGTATTGTCAATGAAACATTTTTTTTAAAGATTTTAAAAACTCATTTCTTTTTTTAGAGAGAGAGGAAGGTGAAAGGGAGTGCTTTTTATTGGTTATATGTTAAAATGAGGATAGTGTCAGTACACTGGCGTTAATCCACTGTTACCCTGATTTCACACGTTTCTTTTTCTCTTCATGAGTGTGGCTGGTAGAGCACTTAGCTGAGGGCTGTGGCTCACTGGTGGCAGTCCCTGGGACAGCATTGCACATGCCCCTGCATGGGCGTCCCTCTGGTATGTGGGGTGGGGTCTGCGCCCCGCAGTTTATAATAAAGATGCACCTGTTTGGGTGTACAGAACTGAAGCGTGGGAGCCTGGTCCGGGCTCTGGTCTGGGTTCTTCTTTTTAAGTTTTACTTTTCAATTACAGTCTACGTTCAGCATTATTCTATATTCGTTTTGGGCGTACAGCATAGCGGCCAGACAACCATACACTTTACAGAGTGATCCCCTGATATTTCCAGTACCTACCTGGCCCCATTCGGAGTTCTCACAGTATGACTTCCTGTGCTGTACTTACATCCCCGTGACTGTTCTGTGACCACCAGTCTGTACTTCTCAGTCCCTTCACTTTTTCTCCCAGCCCCCTATCCCTCTAGACCGGTTTCTTTTGTGATGAGGTTATCAGGCCGGTTACCAAGTAGCAGGGCAGAAAGGCGAGGTGGGCTGAGGCCCGTGAGCCCCACCTTTGTTTTGTGCAACCAGGGGGCAGACCCAGCACCGGGTTCTCTGCTGCTCAGGATGCGAGCTGGAGAGCTGTGGTGGGGCCCCTCACGTCCCCTGCTCCTGTCCTCACTGCGCTGCTGTGAGTTCCTGGAATGAACCATGTGGGCAGGTGCGACGGACAGGTTGTCCTCACGCCTGCTGTCACATCAGGAATCCACATGTGCAGCAGGCCTGTCTGTGGCCTGGTGGTGTGCAGGGCCCAGGCTGGCCTGCCCCACGGCGGTCCCAGGTGTCGGCTGGCTGGCCCTCGCCCCCCTGGCTGGGCTGGGGCTGGGCTGGGGCTTTGACAGCAGCCCCTGGTCCACTCTCTGCGCTGGCTCTTTCCCTCCACTCCCCGCTCTGTCCTCTGCCCTCATACCGGGGATAGGGCCTCATTCACTGATGCCGGACTGTCCTTGGGTGGCAGGTCTCATCTGGTGACCCTGTCCTAATGTCACTCTCCTTGCGCACCTGGTGGCTCAGCATTGCAGAATAGTCCCTGCAGCCGGCCCTCTGTCGCCTGCCATGTCCATTCCCCTCTCTGTCCTGACTGCCCTGCCCTTGTTTGCCTTCTGCTCAGGGAACCAGAACATTTGCTGTCCTACATGGACCTTCTGCGACGCACGTTTCATTGACTGAGGGTTCCTGGCTTATGCCAGGATTGGAGCCTCTGCTCCTTTCCTTCTGCCCTGTTCTTCGAGCAACAATACCCTGACCCAGTCCACTCACCCACCTTGGTCTTTTCTCTACTCTCCGAGCTCTGGGATCCCCCATGTGGCCCTGGGTGCTGCTGAGAGGTCTGAAGGCAGACTTGGGAGCAGGCACAGAAATGCCACACTCTTTCTTCTCCAGGAATGGTCCTGTTTATACTGGAAATGCTGCTTCGGTTTAAAAATGATGACACATTGTCCTTCCCAAGATTCATACAGGGCTTTTCTATGACTGGACCTTTCTGCGCAGCCCTTAGGAGCATGTGTATGGCCAAAGGCACCCTGGTATGGGCATCTTCTCTGCACCTCCGCTCACTCTGGCTGAGGCTGTGCTGGGGGAGTGAGCCAGCTGCAGGGCCGTCTGTGGTCCCGACTTGATCAGTCTGGTTTTCTTAGGCACCTTAACTATTTAAACATATTTAACTTGCTTACTTTGCAACCCTCTCTCCTCTGCATAGAAACATTGCTTCTCAGACAGTGGCCAGACTGAAAGATGTTGCCCGTCGGATTTCGTCCTGTCTGGACGTCGAACAGCACAGCCGGGACCGATCTGCCTCCTTGGATTTGCTGCTGCGTTTTCAGCGCTTACTGATCAGCAAACTTTATCCTGGAGAAAGTATTGGTCAGACTGCAGACACTCCCAGTAAGTGGCTTAAAGTGTCGTGTCTGTGGGTTCTTGCTGTTTGACACACTTGCTCTGCACGCAGACGTGTGGCTTCATGCTGTTGAAGTGGTGGTTTGGGGGTTCATTTGCACCACTTTCCCCGGGGGAATATTTCTGTGTTAGACTCACCAGACATCAGGAGTGGCATCCTTTAGAGTCAGGCTAGTCGGATGTGACTTACCAGACCTAAGCACGTGCTGTTGAGGGGCTTTGGGGACTGACCTGCTGTGGGAACAGAATCGTGCCATCATGTGTGTCACTGGGAAGCCAGCAGGGTCCAGTGGGAGGGGTGGGTCAGCACTGGGGCCAGACTGGGTCTCAGTTGTAGCTCTGGTTGATTAGCTGCTGGACCTGGGACTAGGTCTCCTGGGTGCTGTCGATTGTGCCCCCCCGCATTGGGGTAACACCCGAGGGTGCCTGTGACGATTGAAATAGGACTTAAAGAAGCCCCTGTGGCTCTTCCTACCGTAGCTTTCTGCCCAGGGGACGAGCTCAGCTGCTCTCGTTTGTCTTCCTATAGCTGGTTCATTCCTTCCTGCAAAGAGCAGGTGCTTGTCAATGATGGAGACTGTCAGGTGGATATAGGCGAATGTAAAATCTGAAAGAGGCGACCCCCTCAAAGACAGACAGTCACAAGGCTGAAAGTCACCGGCGCCCTGGAGGGAGGAGAGGTGAAGGTTTTGTGAGGGGGGAGGGTGCCCAACTCTGTTCCCTGGGAATAGGTTTCAAGCGTGGAGACTGGGACTTAGAAACACTGTGTATAGAATATAAGGCTTTAAACCTGTAAGCACGATGTTAGTGTGAACACCCGGAGCTCCTGGGTGCTGTTTAGGACAGTGTCTAAAAATCGACATAGCAAATGCACTGTTTCAGACTGTGGGGCAGAGAGACGGGACTAGGGGTGACGGCTCCTGTTGGAGGACGTTTTTGTGGGTAAAGACACACAGACGGTGACAAGGGAGCAACTCACCGTATTTTCCAAGGCACACGTAAGAGTGACAATGCTGTGCTCGCCCCTTCAGGTCCTGAGCTGCTGGGCGTGGGCTCCTTGCTGAAGAAATACACGGCTCTCCTGTGCACGCACATCGGGGACATCCTGCCCGTGGCCGCCAGCATCGCTGCCACCAGCTGGCGGCACTTCGCAGAGGTGGCCTGCGTCGTGGAGGGGGACTTCACCGGTACCCTTCCTGTTTCCCGCTTGCCGATGCTCCTGATTTTCAGAGAGTGATGGGACCTCAGGTGTCCCATTGCTGGCAGCCCGCTCGCCTCTGCCCTGGCGTGTTCTTTCCTGCTGTCCTGTCTCTTTCTGAGCTGCTGGCAGTTCTGGGTTGAGCTGGTCCCTGTGAGGGGGTTAGTGACGTAGAGTCATACACCATTGCCTACGCTTGCACAAAGGGCCATGGTCTTGCCTCAGGTCATGGCAGCAGCGTAGAGTGAGCCAGCCGCCCCCCGGGACCTTCATGAATCCCAGCGTTAGTCGTAGTTGCCAAGTCAGTTCTGTGACACGAGACCATTACCTGGTGCTCTTTCTGATAGTAAATTAGTCGTAAACACTTTTTTTTTTTAAATTAGAGATTCTAGTTGATGCTTCTCTGTTGAAACTGGTTTTGAAACTTGTAACTCGGAGGGTTCGGCTTGAATCCTGTGTCTCTTTCAGAGGGAAGGAGAAAATTGTCCCGGGGAAGTATGCTGAGGACAAGCGGTCCTTACGTTGTGCTTTATCAGAACTCATCGTAGAGCAGGCTTAGAAACTGGTTTTACGGGGGGAACGCTTCTGTCTAAACCGTAACGCTTGATGATTTTCTCCTTCGACTGCAGGTGTGCTCCTCCCGGAGCTGGTGGTGTCCGTAGTCCTCCTGCTCAGTAAGAACGCGGCGCTCATGCAGGAGGCCGGCGCGGTCCCTCTGCTGGGCGGGCTGCTGGAGCACCTGGATCGCTTCAACCACCTGGCACCCGGCAAGGAGAGGGACGACCAGGAGGAGCTCGCCTGGCCCGGCATCATGGGTATGGTGTCTTCCCGCGCCGCTTCTCCAGCACCTTCTGTCCAAGTCTCACCTAGTCTTGCCCCTCCGTTGGGAGAATATGGGACCAGGAGGACACCCGCCTGCCGGGTGTGCCAATGGTAGCGTGGTGGGAAGTGGAGAAAGTAAGTCAGGAGAGATCTGGGTTCTGTTTAAGGAAGACTTTCTGTTAGTCACGGTTTCCTCCTGAAATGGATTGTTGTAGGACGTTCTGGGGGTGTCTCCCTTGGGTGTCTGCAGAAGGTGCTGCTGAGGTGGCTGGGCCGTTGCAGCTATGGGGCAGGCGCGGCTGTGGGCGACTCTCACTCCCAGCCTGATGTGGCAGCAGGGGGTGCGCCGTGCCCGTCGCCAGCTGAGCAGCCCGTCCCGCTGTCTGTGGGGCTCACAGGTGGGACGAGAAGTGTCTCCTCCTGGTCTCAGCTTTGGCGTTTTGAATCTAAGTCACCACGCTGTGTGTGGTTTCACTTCCCGACTCGCTGAATTAAAGCTGTGGCTCGACTTTCATTTTATTACAAGGAGGCCATGTTGTGCAATAATAAAATCACAAAATACAGAGGAAACATTTAGGCTGTCCTGCCTGAAGTCAGGATAAGCGAACGTCTGGACCCATTCCACGGTGCTGTGCTGTTTGTTAACCCTCACTCAGGGATATTTCCCCACGGGCTTTTAGAGAAAATGGAAGGGGGGAAGGGGGGGGAGAGAGAGACGTCAGTGTGAGACATCAGTGTGAGAGACAGTGTGAGAGACGTCAGTGTGTGTGTGAGAGTGTGAGAGACACATTTCGTTGCCTCCTGCACGTGCCCTGACCAGGCACGGGATCAAATCAGAGACCCTCAGGTGGACAGGCTGACGCCCTAAGCACTGAGCCACACCGGCCAGGGCCACAACGTTTCTTTTTCAAATGGGAAAATAAATGACAAAAACAAGCTTTATATTATAATTTTGTGGCACTTTTCAATTAATAAATCATATCTAAAGATTAAAAACATCTTGCATAGGGAAGCTCAGGCCGGGTGGGCTGTTTCTGCTCCCGCTGCGCAGACTGTCATCTTCATAACCCGGCTGCTGAACCCGAAGTAACAGTTGTCCTGAGAAAAACGGCCTTGGGATATTGGGCTTTTTTCCCTTAGTCTTTTTATATAGCGAATGTTTTTAGTGCCAGTCATCTGCTTTTGTGAACTAAAGGGTTATTTGCTGTCGTCGCTATATAAATACGGTGGCGGGCGCTGATGTGGCCGGTAGTTCTGGCTCTCTCATTGGAAACCCGTTTTCACTGTGCAGAGGACACGTGCTTGAGAGGACAGGAGGCAGCTCTGTGGCTCCCACAGAGCACGGACGCCCCCGGGTGAGGACGGGCCCCTCGTGTCCCTGCGGGCGCCCCTCGCCTCTTGGTCATTGTGTCAGGTGGCACGTGCCCTTTAAGAACTTTCCATTTCAGCCTGTTCCTTGGTGGAATTTAATTACCTCTGTCTTGGCAGTTCCTGGAATTTTGGGTGACTTATAAATATATTTCACACTTTTTAGATATGTAGAGAAGTTTTATTTTACGTTTGAGGCTATGTCTCACTTCCCTGTAGTGTGGCCCTTGCCCATGCTTGCAGCCTACTGTCTTTGAGATTGTTGAGCTTCCTCTGTTGCCCGGTGTGTGGTCAGACCTCATCCTGCCGCTCGCGTGGTGGCCGTGTGCCTTATAAATCGCTGTGTCCTCACCGAGGCTCTGCGTGTGGGGCTGCTTGCAGCAGGAGGCGTGTTCACCCCCGCGTGGTTGTGGACGGGTCCGTGTCCTCCGTATTTCTTCCACACGGCTTCTTCTCGCCCTGTGCCTGGTGGCCTGGTGGTTTATTGATCGTGGTTTCTGTATACAGAGTCGTTTTTTACAGGTCAGAACTGCAGAAACAACGAGGAGGTGACCCTCATTCGCAAAGCCGACTTGGAGAACCACAACAAGGACGGGGGCTTCTGGACTGTGATCGATGGGAGGGTGTACGACATCAAGGACTTCCAGACCCAGTCCCTGACCGGAAGCAGCATCCTCGGTGAGGCCTGCTGCTCACTTCACGGTTAGAAGGGGCAGCACGTGTCACTTTCAGCAAAGCGTTCGCCTTTTCTTTTTTCTATATGTTTTTATTGAATTATTGAGGTGACATTGGTTCGTGAAATTACATAGGTTTCAAGTGTACAGTTCTCTGTACAGCATCTGTATGTTGTCCTGTGTGTTCACCACCGCAAGTCAAGTCCCCTTCCGTCCCCATTCGTCCCCGCTTTACCCTCTCCCCGCCCCTTCCCTCTGGCATTCACCGCACTGTCGTCTGCGTCTGTGAGGTTTTTATTTTTTGCTTAATTCCTTTACTTTTTTCACGTACTCCCAACCCTCTCCCCGGACAGCTGTCAGTCTGTTCTCTGAGTCTGTGAGTCTGTTCCTACTTTGTTTGTTTATTTTGTTCTTTAGATTCCACTACTTGTGTTTCTCTGTCTTGCTTCACTTAGCATATGGCCGGGTTGGACTCGGGGTGGGAATGCCCCACAGCCGTTCTAGCCCCTCACCTACTGACGGGCACTTGGGCTGCTTCCAGATCTCAGCTGTTGTGAACTGTGCTGCTGTGAACGTCGGGGTGCATAAATTCTTTCTGATTGGGTTTCGGGATTCTTAGGATGTATTCCTAGAAGTGGGATCACTGTGTTAAAACATACTTTCATTTTTAACTTTTTGAGGAGCCTTCACACTGTTTTCCACAGCGGCTGCCCCAGGCTGCATTCCCACCAGCAGGGCACCAGGGACCCCTTTCCCCACACCCTCGGCAGCACTTGTCATTTATTGACTGGTTGATGGTGGACATTCTGACAGGTGTGAGGTGATGTCTCATTGTGGTTTTAATTTGCATCTCTGATGATTAGCGACAATGAGCATTTTCTCATGTGTCTCTTGTCCATTCAGGTCCTTTGCCCGTTTTTTAATTGGGTTGTTTGTCTTCCTGGTGTTGAGTTGTATGAGTTCTTTATATATTTTGGATAGTTAACCCCTATCAGATGTGTCATCAAATGTATTCTCCCATACAGTGGGCTCCCTTTTCATTTTGATGATGATTTCTTTCGCTGTGCAGAAGCTTTTTAGTTTGATGTAGGCCCATTTGTTTATTTTTGTCCTTTGTTTCCTTTGCCCAAGAAGATATATCAGAAAAAATATCGCTACGAGAAATGTCCCAAGATTTTACTGCCTACGTTTTCTTCTAGGAGTTTTATGGTTTCGAGTCTTACATTTAAGTCTTTAATCCGTTTTGAGTTTATTCTTGTGTAAGTGGGTGGTCTAGTTTCGCCTTTTCGCATGTATGTGTCCAGTTTTCCCAACACCATTTACTGGATAGACTGTCTTTACCCCAGTATATGTTCTTGCCTCCTTTGCCATACGTTAGTTGATTACATAGGCCTGGGTTTATTTCTGGGCTCTCTGTTCTGTCCCATTCATCTATATGTCTGTTTATGCCTGTACCACGCTGTTTTGAGTACAGTGTAGTGTAGTTTTATATCAGGTAGCGTCATTCCTCCAACTCTGTTCTTCTTTCTTAAGGTTGCTGAGGCTGTTGAGGGTCTTTCGTGGTTCCATATGAATTTTTGGAATATTTGTTGTAATTCTGTGAAAAACACCATTGAATCCATAGACTGCTTTGGGTAGTATGGACGTTTTAATGATGTTAATTCTTCTAATCCATGAACATGGTATAAAAGCATTAGGCTTTTTGACAGTCTATTTGGTGCTGCTCCTGCGCCCCAACATTTTAAACTCTCTGTGACTCTCGTGTCTGTCCTGCTGGGGAATTCACATGCATGTGAAGAATTTCTCATTATATGCAGTTTTTTCCCCAACACTCATTGGAACACGTTCCAAGTTCCGAGTTGGCCCCAGCAGCCCTGGGAGAGGGTGAGAGGGCATCGGCCTGCCGAGGCTGCTTCCTGTCGCCAGGCCCCTGTGGAGGCCTGGGCACGTTGTGGGAAGTCAGGCGGATTTGTTGTTTTGTTTCAGCCCAGTTTGCTGGGGAAGACCCCGTGGTGGCCCTGGAGGCTGCGCTGCAGTTTGAAGACACGCGGGAGTCCATGCACGCCTTCTGTGTCGGCCAGTACCTGGAGGTGAGGCTGCCCCGGAGCTGCTCTGGGCGTGGGTGCTGGGTGGCTGCCACCCTGACTGTTGAGAGCTGGGCCTTTTGCAGCGTGGGGGTGGGGGTGTCATTGCAGAGGCTTGTTGCTGTTAATCCTCCCCCGAGGGCAGTTTTTCCATTGCTTTTTAGGGACGGGGAAAGGGGGGGAAGAGAAAGGGAGAGAGGGAGGGAGAGGGGGGAGATAGGGGGAGAGAGGGAGGTTGGGGAACATAAGTGTTTCTCGACTGGTTGGTTGCCTTCTACACTCTGCCTGACCTGGAGTGGGGGGCAAACCCACAACCCAGGTACTTTGACCAGAAATCGAACCCTTGACCCTTCGGTGCCTGGGCCTATGCTGTAACCACTGTGCACACCGGCCAGGGCCTGTAGAGGCTCTTTTTAATAAGTAAATTCACATTTATTCATGTTAAGGTTTATGATGTACTGCTTTTGAAACATTACTTTTTAAATTGTTAGCTTGTAAGAAATGTAGGCACTTCCACACACAGGAAGAGAGGTTAACTTTTGATGTTGACAAGTTCATTGTAAGCTTATGTAGATATTGGGAACATCTTACCGTCCTGAACTTAATGACTTACCATGTTTTTGGGATGAACTAGCCGTAATTCTTTAGAAATGTGTCCTTTCTACATGTTCATGGGCATTGGAGCTTGTGTCCTGGGATTGCCTTTCCGTGTAGGGATCCAGAGGTGATAATGTATTAAAGGCCCCAAGGGTCAGGCCTGAAGCATTTTATGATGAGGGACGTTAACTTCGTTTGTAAATTGTCTCCTGTGACAGGCGTTTCAGATCATTTTCATTAGAACTCAGTCTTTTCTAAGTGTTTGAATAAATTCATCTCCACATGTGTGGTCATGGTTGATAGACTCAGCAACACTTGTCATGTCCTGTTTTGGTGCGTCTCTGGGTTTTTATGTAACGACTAGGATAGCTTCTGAAGCGTCGTATACAGTCACTCTGGAAACTCGTGTTTGACGGTTTTTCACCAGGACACCCAAGCAGCGTCCCTGCTCTGCAGGCTGCGTGCAGTTTCCATCCTCTGTTATTCTGGGGGGGCGTGGCTCACTGTCACAGGCCATGGAACAGGTGCCCAGTGCACCCACTTTCCTCCTCAGGCCGACCGCCTGGTGTAAGGACAGAAGCTGGTGTGCATCTTGGTTTTGTCTGAATTAACCCTGTTTTCTCAGACTGATGGTGACATTTCTCTCCCCAGCCTGACCAAGAAGTCGTTACTGTCCCAGACCTGGGGAGCCTGTCTTCGCCCCTGATAGACACGGAGAGGAACCTGGGCCTGCTTCTCGGATTACACGCCTCCTACTTAGCCACAAGCACACCGCTGTCGCCCGTTGAGGTCGAATGTGCCAGTAAGAACAATTTTGTTTTCCATTAACAGATGCAGGTTATTTTAGCTGAGCCATAGGTGCCGTTGTAGGAGAGGAAGAATCCACAGAGCTGTTGATGAGGAGCATTCGGCAGTGAGGCCGCACCCGCTCATTAGAAGTAACTGCCAGCAGCAGTCACCTGCTGTCACAGTCTGTCAGCGGAGGAGCTAACAAGTGTAGGAGGGGAGTCCTGTGCCTGGTCAGCTCGCACACGCTCTCACAATGGTCACCTCGGTGCTCGTCCCCCCGCGTGCCCAGCAATCCACGGGGTGTGGATCGGCTGCCCACTGGGAATAGCATTCTGTTTGAAGGTTGTATTTTTATCAGACTCAAATCCAATACAACTTGGGACACAGCCTCTGTAATCACCTAAGATAATAACATTACTCTGTGTATCACTCAGTGGGTTGAAGTTTTCTTTCATGTATTTGTACATTTCTCCCTCTGTCTGACCATCAAGCAAGCGTTAGTGAGTAATCACCATGGACCCTTGACTAGTGTGGGGTTAGGGTGCTGACCACCCACGCAGTGGAAACCTGCGTGTAACGTAAGTTGCCCTCCATATATGTGGTTCCCAGCTGCCAGGTCACCCTGGAACAGTGTGGACTTGAACTTCGAGGATCAGTGGGGAAAAATCCTGTGTATAAGTGGGCCCACGCAATTCAAACCCATGTTGTTCCGGGGTCATCTGTACCTGTGTGCTCAATACTCGGGGTGTCACAGGTGTGCTCTGACGAGCTAGACAGGATAAGCGGGTCAGGATACACGGGGTCGTGATCCGTGGAGACAGGCGTTCTGGGAGAGAGAAGGGGTTCGTGGAGGCAAAGCAGTTATGAAATTGGAGACTGAGCGCGCTGGGTGTCTGAGCCTCTGGGCCCAAACCCGGGCTCCTGAGGGTGTTGTTGAGAGGGGCAGGGGCCCCAGGGTGAGGGCGTGGTGCCTGGTCAGCCTGCCTCAGAGCAGACCCTGGTACCCGTGCTGGGCGCTTTGCTGCCGCAGAGCCTTCGGGTGACTCCTCCTCCTCAGACTCATTGTTCTGTCGGGAGACAGGCAGGGTGGGCAGGACCGGGAAGTGTAGAGTCGAGGGGCAGGTGTGCCTTGGGCCCAGTGGGCTGGGCTAACCCACTCCAGGGCGACAGAGTCACCATCAGAGCGGTGTTTGAGAGAGAGGCGGGGGCTCTAAGTGGAGTGGGCCAGGGAGGTCGTGGTCAGGTTTGTGGTGTAGAAGTAAGGTGGCACGTTGGAGGATGCTCCCGAGTACTCTAAGATTTACGTTTCCCAGTAAGGGCCCAGCGGGCGCCTCCGGGACTGATTGCTCGGCGGTGGGGAATATTTGATAACACGGTCATTGAGAAAAATCTGTAGGGTGTGCTGTCTGGCTTTTCATCTGGAGCGTCGCCTTCCGCGTGAGGGCCGATCTGTGCCACACACAACTCTCCTTTCCTGTCTGCTGGGCCTCGGTCTCCCAGGACCTGTCCCTCAGAAGGTCCTGTGTCGCATGCTCCATAGTGTCCTGCTGTGACTGTGAGATCCATGCTCTAGGTGGACGGTGCCCTGGGCATGCGGTATCTTCATGGACCCTACACACGTGCTGTTCTCCACTGGGGTGCTCAGCCCATTGCCTCCATCCAGATCTCTGTGCATGTTCACTCCCCAGCAGGCCCCGCAGGCTCTGCCTAGCGGAGGGAGGGAGGGAGGCCTGCTGCCCTTGTGCCTCTGCATGTGGCCACTGACCCACGGGAACAGAGCCCCAGATGCGGAACGCAGAGCCCAGTCTCCACGCGGTGCTGTGGTTCCAGACGGCCGCCACCCGGGCAGGTGGCCAGGAAGTGTGAGCCTGGACTGTCACACTGCCCTCTGACACCACCATGAGGTGTTGCGTAACCAGAAAGTGTCACCTGCCTTCACATAGAGACAGGAACACCCGGGAGATAGTGAGAGTGCTTCCAGACCACCATAGGAGAGTGGGTATCGCAATAGAGCGAGCCATGCTCTGCTTTCCCAGTGCATGTTTTCACACTGCACTGCGGTCTGTTAAGTGTGCACTAGGGCTATGTCTCAGGCAGTGCACGTACCTTTATTAAAAGTATCTGATGCTAATAAATGCTGCCCATCACCTGGGCCTTCGCCAGCTATTGTCTTTTCATTGGTGGAGGGTCGTGCTCTGCTCTGGGGAAGCTCAGGGTCCGCGTAGCGCAGGAGAGCCACACGCCGTCGAGCCCGGGGCCTGTGAGGCGTTGCAGGCCTGTCCGCCTGAGTGTGTGAGAGCGACTCTTACACGATGAAGCTGCTTTCCCTGCTGAGTCCAGCCCTCGCCCTTTCTTCTCAGTGTTTCTGAGCAGTGCCCTCAGGCTGTGACCGTTTGCGTTGGTTTCTAGGGTGGCTGCAGTCGTCCATCTTCTCGGGAGGCCTGCAGACCAGCCAGATCCACTACAGCTACAATGAAGAGAAGGACCAGGACCACTGCAGCACCCCTGGGGGCACCCCCGCCAGCAAGTCCCGCCTCTGCGCCCACCGGCGCGCCCTGGGCGACCACTCCCAGGCGTTCCTGCAGGCGCTGGCCGACAACAACATCCAGGACCACGATGTGAAGGTGAGCCGGCCTCCCACACGCAGCGTCCTGTCCGCAGGGCTGACCTGTGGTCACCCTCCTGCTCTCCGGGCGGCTCCGTGACTTGGGTCATGTGCTCTTGGAAGATGGGTTGGGAGGTGGGGGTGGCTCCGCTCGATGTGCCCACAAGGCTGTGGAAGCCCCACTGGCTGCAGGTGCCTGGGAGGCTGCGTCGTGGAGTTCAGACCGGTGACGATGGCTGGGACGGCCGGGAGTCACCTCTGCTGTTTCTGTTGCAGGACTTCCTGTGTCAGATAGAAAGGTACTGTCGGCAGTGCCACCTGACCACCCCCATCACCTTCCCCCCCGAGCATCCCGTGGAAGAGGTGGGCCGCCTGCTGCTGTGCTGCCTCTTAAAACATGAAGACTTAGGTAGGGAGCTTAGTGTGTCGGCTGCCCCGTGGTCTCTGGCTCACGCGCGGCCACAGCGTCCCTCCCTGCCCCTTTGTGAATGTCTCTTCCAGGGCACGTGGCGCTGTCTCTGGTTCATGCCGGCACGCTCGGCATCGAGCAGGTGAAGCACAGAACGCTGCCCAAGTCGGTGGTGGATGTCTGCCGGGTTGTCTACCAAGCCAAGTGCTCGCTCATTAAGGTGGGTAGGTCCTGATTCTCCTTCCTCCGGGCTGCGCGGTCGGGAGACGACCTGCATCAGTTCTCTCTCATCTCTGGCTTGGCAGACGCACCAGGAGCAGGGCCGCTCTTACAAGGAAGTCTGCGCACCCGTCATCGAGCGCTTGAGGTTCCTCTTCAATGAGCTGAGGCCCGCGGTCTGTAATGATCTCTCGATAATGTCCAAGTTTAAACTGCTGAGCTCTCTGCCCCGCTGGCGGAGGACCGCACAGAAGATCATCCAGGAGCGGAGGAAGAAGCGAGGTGAGCGCGGGAAGGTCTGGAGGCCTGCGCTCAGTTCTCAGCAGTGATGCGGGACGACGTGTGAGGGCCGAGGGCCAGGGTGCTCACCTGAGCTTGTTGTCGGGGTTGTCGTTGGATTGGCCCCATAGATGTGGGCGCCTGGGCGGTGGCCTCACTCAGACTCCAGCCCGCAGAGCAGACACAGGGGTCACCTGAGTCACATCGTTAGTGTCAGCTTTGTCAGACTGGGACACGTGCTCCTAGCCCTCAGCGCAGGCACAGAAACCAACCCTTCTCAGGCTGAACGTGCCGAGGGCTCAGCCCAGTTCTCGGGAGCTGGCCAAGGGCCGGTGCTGAAGGGACAGGGCTTTCTTGGGAATTTGGGGTCTGAGCAAAGCCAACCTGCTGAGTAATGTCTTGCTGTGCCGGCGTACTGTTATGTTGCTTGTTATTTACATTATATGCTGAGAAGAATTAGACTAAAAGCCTTGAAAGGCACTAAAACATGGAAGCAACACCACACATCACATTGCAAACCCAGTAGCAGTTTCCCTCGTTACAGAGACTAACATAGCGAGAGGCTTCTGTCAGTCCAGTGCGCACTGGTGATGCCCATGGCATGGTCCAGAGTGGGCGCGCCAGGGTCTGGGACAGTGCCACTGGCTGCTTGCTGTGGACTCTCCAGGACCTAAGACTGGAGTTTGCATTTGGAAATTTTTTTTAAACCAGAGGAAGATTATGTTTGTCACATGAGAATGACATACAGCTTCAATTGCAGCCTCCATGAGTAAAGGTCCCACTTGGCTGCAGCAGAGGCGAATGTGTGCGATAGACCAGGTGGGCTGCCAGGACGCAGGCGCCAGCACCGGCCCTTGAAGGAAGATCTGGCTGAGCCCAGCCGCCCCTGCGTGGGGCCTCCCCGCGGCGGCACCCCCGCCGTCCTGCCCCTGACGCGGGGAGGCAGTGTTGTCACTGTGAGAGTGTTTATGGTACTTTTGTAGTTTGAGCGTTTCCAATGACAGTGAATATTAAAATATTTGTGTCCTTTTATGGAGATAGAAGTATTTCTTCATTTGAAACTGTATTTAAGTAAATGGTTTTTATAATGAATGATGTTTTTAAACATAGTTCCTAAGAAGCCAGAACCTACTGATGAGGAAGAAAAAATTGGAAACGAGGAGAGTGATTTAGAAGAAGCCTGCCTGTTGCCTCACAGCCCCATGAGTGTGGACAAGAGGCCCATCGCTATTAAGTCACCCAGGGTGAGCGTCCGCTATGGTCCTGAGACTGGCCGGTGGAGACACAGCACAGGGACCCACCAGTTCCAGCTCTCTGTCCTGGAGCATCCGTCGGGTGGAGAGGGTCCTGGCTCGTTAAAGTGGGTTACTGAGCCCCAGACATGCCTGCCTAGGTGCCCTGGGCAATCCGTCCCCAGAGAAGCGTTTCCTTCTACTCCTAGGAATACATTGTATCATTCCCTCATTCACCATCCATCCATCCATTCACTCACCATCCATCCATCCATCCATCCATCCACTCACTCATTCACCATCCATTTATTCACTCATTCACCATCCATCCACTCATTCACCATCCATCCATCCACTCACTCATTCACCATCCATCCATTCACTCATTCACCATCCATCCATCCATCCACTCATTCACCATCCATCCATTCCCCATCCATCCATTCCCTCATTCACCATCCATCCATTCATTTACTCACCATCCATCCATTCACTCATTCACCATCCTCCATCCATTCACTTACCATCCATCCATCCATCCATTCAATCATTCTCCATCCATCCATCCATTCTCCATCCATCCATCCATTCACTCACCCATTCACCATCCATCCATCCATCCTCCATCCATCCATCCATCCATCCATTCACTCATTCACCATCCGTTCGTTCATTCATTGAATGTCTCCTTCAGAAACTGTCCTGGCCCCTGAGGCTGTTAATATGGATGATAATTTAACTTTATGCCACGTAGTTAAGTGCTTTCCAGAGTATATCAAGTATGGACACTTAAAATTCATTTATAAGCTATTTATGACCTAGTTACTTTTACTATAAGTTAGTTCCTAAGTTTAAAATACCGGTTTACACCTGTGGACACTTATGTTTTACTGGAGTAACTGTCTTAGAGCACGTTAACATCAGCAGGTGAACTCACGGTGCGCATGGTTCCTTTGTCAGGATAAGTGGCAGCCTCTGCTGAGCACAGTCACGGGTGTTCACAGGTACAAGTGGCTGAAGCAGAACGTGCAGGGCCTCCACCCGCAGTCAGCGCTCCTCACCACCATCGCCGAGTTCGCCCTCAGGGAGGAGCCGGTGGATGTGGAGAAGATGAGGCGGTGCCTCCTGAAGCAGGTGAGGCTTGTGCGGGGACCATTGGCCTCGCATAGGACCCATGACACTCACCTGCGTGCATTGGTGTTTTGCAGCTGGAGAGAGCGGAGGTCCGCCTGGAGGGGATAGACACAATATTAAAGCTGGCGGCCAAGAACTTCCTGCTTCCGTCCGTGCAGTACGCTATGTTCTGTGGATGGCAGCGGCTTATCCCTGAGGGGGTCGACATAGGGTAAAACGGGAACGTTCCTTCCCAGTCGGGAGGTGGTGGCGTCCACACGTTCTGTGTAGGTTAGAGCCTGACCACAGTCTCAGTAAAATT